TTCTGGGACTTCCTCTCCTTTCCTCCCTCTTGCCCTTCATCCCCCTCCCTCCCCTCTTCTCTCTGGTCCTCCTTTCTCCATCCCTCCTTTCCTCCTCCTCTTGTCTCCTTCCCGCCCCCCTGCCCTCCCCTCCGCCCCTGCCTCTTCTTCTTATTCTTCTTTCTCTCTCTCCCCCCACTTTCCTTCCAACCTTCTTTCCTCTCTCCCTCCCTTTCTCTGCCACAAACCCACTAGGCACTGGGACACCTCTGGCTGAGACCCGGCTCCCTCTCTGAGGTCCTCACTCTGCAGCATCAGGCTATTACGGAACTTTTTCCATTAAGGACACTCCGTGCTTTCAAGCCCTAAGCACAATTTGCTTTAGAATTTCACTTTTAAAAAAGGCTCCATATGTGAAGTCCTTGGAGATCCCCCAGGCAGGAGGGCAACCTAAGTTTACAGCCTCCTGCTCCGAGGGCCTCACACACCCGAAGCTGCCCCAGTTCAGCTGACGGAGCCGCAAGCTTTTGCTGTAAGAGTCCATTCATTTATTTTTAAATATATTTTCCACTTTGCCTCACACCAAAAAGGACTTATGTTTGGAAACGCCTACACCCGTGAGCTTCTTGGGAGAGTCAGGTACTTGGGACAAAGCCCTGTGACCAGGTGCCCCCCATCTGGGCCGGGAAGAGCCTCCCCAGGTGGGAACTGGGGGCAGTCAGCCCCCACCCACCCCGGCTGTGAACCGGGGCAAAGTGCTGGTGCCTTTCTCTGCACCCCTTCTTCATAAAATAGACATAATGACCCCTTTTCTTTTTCGCGGGTGTGCCGGGAGGCTTCTGTGCACTTTGGAAGTACTCGGAGCCCCCGTTTGGGAGCGGGGAGCGCAGGCCAGGCCGCGGGTCTCATTACACACCGAGAGGCACATTCACTTCAGCTGGCTCTGCGCTCTCGCCGCGTCCCCGTGTTCTTGACTAAAGTGCTCTTCAAGAAGAATTTCTCCGAGGCTCCCATGTTGACATCCGCCTAGTGTTTCGAGAGCCAGGCTTGCTAGCTGTTTGTTCCTTTGGATGAAAGCCTGCAGTCACTCTATTAAACACTCTCCATTCAGCGGGAAGAAGGGGGAGAAGTGGGCGGGAGGGGGGAGCAGAAATCCAGGAACTGCTCACAAAAACTGGGCGATAGGCCTTTTGCTTCCCAATGTCCCCTTGCCGTCTCACAACCCTGGACG